ACACACCGTTTACCCGCCCCCTGTGGCCCACCCTGTGTAACTCCCACTCCCCCCACAGCCACTACAAGGGGATCAGACAGATGGTGCAGGTCAGCGACCAGGACATGAACACACACCTGGCAGAGATTTCCCGGGTAAGGGCGGCACAGGGGACCCACAAGCTGAGCACCCCCAGGATTAGCCCTCCACCACCCCCGCCCCCCCGGAAGGCCCTGCTGCGTGGGCCAGGAGACTGCATGGGGCGGGGCGGGCAGAGTAGTGCCCAGGGGGGAGAAAGGAGAGGCGCAGACGAGGGGGAATGGGAGGCGGCGGGGCTCGGGAGCAGCTCTGAGCCAGTCCCACCTGCCGTGGGTCTGCATGGGTGGGAGGCTCTCTGTCCGTGGTGTGCCGTGGCTGTGCGTGTCGCGACTGCCGGGGGGACCGTTCGCATCTGCCTGCTCCACCGGGAGACAGCCTCCTGTCTCTGGGTCACGCAGCCCTTCCGCCCCCCTCCCAGGCGCACACGGACTCCCTGAACACCCTCGTGGCCCTGCACCAGCTCTATCAGTACACGCAGAAGCACTACGACGAGGTAGGGGGTCCGGTCCTTCCGGGATGGCCGCGCTCACCCTAACCCTGACCCTGGCCTGCGCTCTGACGCGACCCCTCCTCAGATCATCAACGCCCTGGAGGAGGATCCCGCCGCCCAGAAGATGCAGCTGGCCTTCCGCCTGCAGCAGATCGCGGCTGCGCTTGAGAACAAGGTCACGGACCTCTGACTGCGACCCGCACCGTCATGGTCTCGGGACACAGGTGTGTGACACCCACTGCCGGGCGCTGGGCGGCCCCGGGGGAGCATGGCCAAGCGGGCAGGACTCAGCCCTTCTCTCTCTGGCAGAGGAAGAGCCCCCGGGCTTCCGAGTGTGTGCGTGGCAGGGGGGCCCCCACCTCAGCATTTGTAGCCTCATAGCACCCTTCTCCTGAGCAATAGTGCCGGGCGCCCACCAGCACCAGTTCCCTCCTGCAGAACCAGCATCGGGGGTGTCTCCTTCAAGCCTCCTGAGTGATTTGAAAACGTGCCTTATGCCCCCGGTGCCACGCTGGGTTGCTGGGGGCAGTCGGGCCTCAGCCCCCCTCCCCAGGCACCAGCAGCCGCCTCAGATACCTGGGTTGGGCCTTTTGGGGTGAGGTCTGAGTGCCCTCGGCCCCCAGGACCTAGTGGCCAGACTCTGTCCATCTGCCCTACCTGGACTGGGGCAGAAAAGTGGTACGATGCCTTCCTGACCTCGCTGGCCTGCCCTGCGGGGCACTGGCACTGCCGGGGGACTCCGTGCTGCAGGCCCCACCTCAAAGGTCAAGCTGGACGTCAGACGTCGAGGCCCAGGCGGCCAGAAGGGACCCAGCAGACTGGGGGTCGGGGTCCCGGCCTGTCAGACAGGCTGACCTGGAGGCCCTGCCCAGGTCCGGGGGGCCGGGAGCAGCTCCGCCAGGACACCCGCAACCCTTTTTGTAAATCTTGTTAATTGTCAATCAAATACAGCTGTCTTTTTCACTCTGCTGGTTGGCTGGGTTCTTCCCGCCCGGGGCTGCTGACCCGCCGTCCCTACACACCTGCCCCGTTTTGGTACTGAGCCTGTCCTGCCCATGGCCTCCCTTCCTGTGCGCTCCTGGCCCCAGAAGCTCACCTGAAGGTGGGCCCGTGTGGCCTCGCACACCCATCCCACAGTTCCTGGCTCCCCTGGGCCAGGCCTGCTGGGTGTGCTGAGGCAGCCCGTCCACGGCCACCAGCTCCGCTGAGTCCACGCCTTCCTGCTGCCCCAGCAGGACAGGATGGTGGTCAGGGGTGGGAGGTAAGCGCTGGGGTGCGAACCTCTCCCAGAGGCACATCCTGGTGCACCCCGGCACTGAAAGTGATCCTGAAGCAGGTGGAGGTTCCAAGGGCAGGGGGCGGCAGCCCCCGGCTGGACTCCTGGCTACTTCAAAAGGCTGTTGACTCAGTGGCCTTTATGGTCCTTGATCACCAGTGACCCTGGAGTGTGTGGGAGTGGAGCTGGCAGGGCTGTGACACCTGGTGCTGTTTTCATATTAATTCAGGGGCCTAATTGAAGAAAGCGCAGACTACTGGTCAGAGCATCTAGGCTGGCAGAAACGGGCAGCCTAAGGGGGCCGAACAAATGTGGGGTGTGGTAAAACCTGCCCCCACAGCGTCTCTGCACATCTCTCTCCTGAACACCTCAAGGTCTTTAGAATCTATAACACTTCCAATGCTGGTGCTCAGGTGGACGAGCAGGGAGGCAGGAGGCTTGGGGACAATCAACGTCACATGGAGGCTGCTGGGGAGAAGTTCTGACCCTCGCCCCCGGGTATGAGGGCTCCCAACTCAGCACTCAGCAGTTACCAAACAGGGGTCTGCACCCTCAGCACTCCAAGACTGAGGAACGGGACAAAAGTCAGAGGAGGAGTTTGTCACCGGCAAAGCCCATTAAACATCCCTGGAAGATAAAAATAGCATCTGGGCAAAAAAATAAAGTCTAACCTTTTTGATCCTCTGTGCTTTGTCTAATTTCACATGCTCCTAGGGTCCCGCATGCAGAGGTCCCACACCCGTCACTTCAGACCAGATCTCCTAGTGCAGAATGCCTGGGTCGACACCTCAGCTCGCAGGGCCCAGTGCAGACTCTGCGACATAGAGCATGTGCTGCAGCCGACCTGGCCCTTGATAGCTCCGCTCCCTCCCTCCCACTGACTCTGACAGGATCTCTACACAGCAGCCCAGCCCACAGCCCGCAGGGTAGCACATGCTCTCATGTCTCCATTCTCTGATCAAAATATAACGTTTCCTTTGCTTCTGAATCAAACTCAGTCTCCATATGTTGTCTCCAATGACAATGGGCAGGGAAACACTTGTTGGGGTCCACTCTGGAGGATCAGTAGCAGAAATTGAGAACATTGTAACTTCAATGAACAGATGTGTGAGCCAAACTGTAATTAACATAGAACAGTGTATAAGGCTCGGGTAAAGTAAGATGTTTCTAATACTTCTATTTGATATTTCCATCACTTTCTTATAAGCAAGTTCAGTGAAAAGGTTTGTCTTAATTGTCAGGTCAATATTAGAGAAATGAAGTGATTTCTTTCCAAGGATGTACATCTAATAATCTTGGTTAAAGCTTCAATCTTCTTTTAAATGCTTTTCCATTGAAAATGATCCTTCTCTTCCAGCTCTCCCATTTCTGAGAAGTATAAAATCTTATAATTTATTATTACGGCCACGGTGCGGGATTGGGCCCGCTTGGGCGCCATCTGGTGGCGGGGGTGGGCGTGGCGCGAGCTCTCAGGGACCTGTTTTCTCCTTCCTGAGGTGCAGTGACTCACAGGTGTGGTCCACCCAGCACACGTCTAGTAAGCCCCTACTGGGTGTAGACCCCACTGGACACGGTGGTTCCTGGAGGGAGGCCCTGTATCCCCCTGCTCGAGGCTGTGGGGCCATTAGGGTCAGCTCCTCCTGGGGTCCCAGGCACCTGAGAGCAAGAGGCACCTTTGTTGGTGTAGGAAGGAGGGGCTTGTCCCGGAGGCAGGCGATGGGGGAAGGCAGATTGCTCCCAACCCCTGGAGATGCGCTCCTCTGTGGCCAGTCAAGCACACGTACCGTGACCACACGGGCATGCGCGTGCGCGCACACACGCGGCACCAGCGTGATGGGCCCCTCGCTCGTTCATTCAACATGTGTGGTCCTGGGCACTAGGGACACGGCAGTAGAGGTGGCAGAAAGGGCCTTCCTTGAGGGAGCCCTTCCCTGAGGGAGCCCTTGTGTTCCAAGAATACCAACCCTGGCAGAAAAGGGATTTAGTGGCCCCGTGAAGGCAAGTGAAGGGGTCCGGTTTCAGGTACGGCTGGATCCAGGTGCTCACGTGTCTTGGGTTCCATCATCCGGACTTCTTCCCGGCGTGTGCTGCTTGATTCTCAGACACCTGGGACGCTGGTGGCGGAGGCCACCCCGGCCTGTGTCTCCTCCACGTGGGGCACACCGTTGTGGCTGAGAAGTCTCAGTGGGCTCGGCCTTGATCATAAGCCACTTCTGTACAGGGACAGCCAGTTTTGAGCCACATGGAACACCCCTCCCACGTGGAAGGGGAACTAGGCAAACAGCTGACGTCCCCCACCCCAGGGACCCTGAAATGACAGTGTGCTACGGTCAGGAGCAGAGACCCAGATGGGCGGGAGATCTGAACAAGGTACTGCTAAACCCGAGCAGGGGCGGCACAGTCTGGGAGTGTTCACCCTGGGGGGAGCGGGGGCAGGGGGAGCAGGAACCTGGAGGCCTGGCTTCTAGACTGGACCCCTGTGGGCCGCTTCCTCCTCAGCCAGGCATGAGATGGAGGAGTCAGTGAGCCCACCTTTTGCTGCAGGTGTAACAGGTGGGGTTCCCTTCCCCCTCGGAGGACAGGAGCGTGAAGGGATCCAGGGGCCATGCTTTCATGGGGCCAGTGAAGAAACTGGGCATGGATGTTGGGTGCACGGGGGTGGGCAGGCCAGCTGGAGTGGTCAGGAGGCTGGCAGACCAAGGGGTGACCCAGCCTTCCGTCACTTTCCACTTCCCACTTTCCTCCCAATGCAGTGGGAGTGGGGAGATGCAGGGATGGAGGTGACCAGCAACCTTGATGACCTTTCCTTCCGAATTGCAGAAAACAGCCCAGGACCACACCCTGCTCGCTTGTTAAGAGCACGAGACCTCACCTAAATCACGGGGCCCCTGTGACAGGGCCAGAGAGCATTTTAGGAAGTTCGTTCGGACCTCAGGGAGACGTGCAGCCGGGAGACCAGTGTGGGGCTGAAGAGGGGATGGCCTGGACCTGTGGAGAGGGGACAGTGGACACGGAGGGTGGGGGCATCTCGGTACTTAGGGGTAGCTGTGAATCACAGTAGAGAGTGGAAGGAGGCGGGGTGTGTGTGCTGGGGACCCGGGGCTCATAGGAGGCTATTCCGTGCCGCCCCATCCGTGCCCCATCTGCACACCCACTGGCAAGGCCTGCCACTCCTGGCTGCCCTCCGACCACACCACCTTCCCTCCAGGCTCAGTCCTCGACCTGCCGGCCGGGATAATGCTGTGAAAACACACAGCACAGTGCGAATAAAAATCTGAAATCCCGTCGGTGCTCCCTGCCCAGCCTGCCACGGCCCTGCACCCATGGCCACCACTCTCCATTCTGGTCCTCAAGTCAGGCTAAGTCCTGAGAGGCAGCACTGTCTGCAAGCTGGCCCGGCATCACTGCTGTCACCTCTGGGGGCTCTGACTGCACTGTCCCCGCCACCCCACCACCACGGGGAATCCTCCCTGGTCAGTCCCCTGCAGTCTCACAGCCCCCTCCCCTGCAGAGGGCAGCTTGGCCGAGACTGCTCTGCCGGGGCAGCGGGCACCCCTGTGCCCAGGGCAGGTTTGCTGAACGCTGAGGGAGGGCCTCAGCGCGGTGTGTGACCGCTGAGCAGGGCAGTGAGGCCGCCCCCCTCTGGTCAGCGCCGACCACCCGCACTGGGGCTCCGGGGCGACAGGCACCCCTGCCCCGAAGGCCCCGCCCTCCCCGCGGCGCGGCCGCCGCCCACGGCCTGCTGCCCCTCCCGCCGCCTCTTCCCCCGCTTTAGCTGAAGCTCCATTGACTCCACACAAAACCTTGGCTGCTTTGCCCGGCCGGCCGCCGGGAAAGTGCCCCCAGCGTGAGGCCCCGAGGAGGCCCCGGGTGGGGTGGCTGGGGGAGGGGACACCGGCGTCCTCACCCCATCC